CTCCCTCCCTGCCCGGCCCCGCTGCTGCTCAATAACCCCGCAGTGCCGTAGTTAAACCTCTCCTGGTGCATTCACCCCGCTCCTCCCTCCTCCTGGCCCGTCCTTCCTCGCTTCAGCCGCAGCAGCCGCTCCTTCCTGCTGTATTTAAGCTGCTTCAGCGCCGGCTCCGTGTCCGGGGAGGGTTGGGAAATGAATGTGTAACTTATAAATGCCTTTAAGCCAGAAATGTAAACCATTAACTGCTCATTTGTATACATTATTTTTATATACTGAAGGCCTGTTTAATCTAAAGCACAACTGTAATAAAAACGTCAGAGTTCATGAAGGACTTGTCTGGGAGAAGGGTTTGTGATGCTGTCATGAAGGGAGGGAGAAAAGGAAGGAAAGATGGGGTGAGGGAAGGATGGAGGGAGGGAGTGGCTGTGGCTGCCCCATCCCCAGGCTGAACAGGGCTTGGAGCACCCTGGGATAGTGGGAGGTGAGAGGATGGAACGAGATGATCTTTAGGGTCCCTTCCAACACAATCCAGTCTGGAATTCTAGCAACAAACCACCCACCTTCCATTTAATTTCTTTTTTTTTTTTCTTGAGTTCAACAGCTCTGAGGTCTGTTCACAGCACAGACATGTGGGTGCGTGACAGCACAAAAAATGTGTGTCAGGGTGAGTGTCCTCACTCAGCAGCCTGGCCACAGCCCCTCCCCAGCCTGCTGGGGAAGGATTCAGCTCCGTGCAGACAAACAGAGGGGCTGCAGCACTGGGAGATGTGGGGGATCCCCAGAGCTCTGCCTGCCTCACCCCTGTGCTCCCAAGGCAAGGCTGAGCAGCTCCCAGTGCAGCAAATCCCCTACAGAGGGACAGAGGGAGGACAAGGGACTGTCTGCTAGGAAAGAGAGAGATGCCAGGCTGCTCAGCAAAGCCTGGGATCCATCAAAGTCAGTGCTGCCTCTTCAGCCCCAAAAATCACAGAATCCTAGACCTAGACCCCCAAGGATCATCCAGTCCAATTCCTACCCTGCAGACACCCCAGCAATCTCACCCTGGGCATCCCTGGCAGTGCTGTCCAAACCCTCCTGGAGCTCTGGCAGCCTCAGGGCTGGCACCATTCCCTGGGCAGTGCCCAAGCCTCCTCCCTGACTTCTCCTGAATCCCCCAAACCCAAGTTATACAGCAGAGTTCATTCAGACCAGGCTCCTCTTCCTGGAAAATTCTCATTCAGCATCACCATCTTGTTCTCTGGGACAACACATCAAACCACCAGCAACGACAACAAACAAAATCTTTTTTTTTTTTTTAGCTTTATTTTTTTTTTCCCTGTGAAAATGCAGGTTAAAAACGTTAACTTCAAGAAATCACAGTTTCATAAAGTGTCATTCATTCCATACAAGCTCCTCATTCCAGCACCTTCCCCCACTGCCCATCTCAATGAGGAGATCCTCAGCTCACCAGCAGCGATTTTTCCAGACTTCCAGAAGGAGCTGCACAACAAGAGCCATCTGTGTTTATCACTCCTACTTGTCCTCCCCACCCTGAGCTGGGGTTCTGTCCTAAACACTCGTTATGAAACCTGACAGAACAAGGAAAATGCAAATCTTTCCCGACTTTCTGCTGTCAGTATTGCCTTCATCTGGAGGCCAGCTTGTTTGTGCCTGTCACAGCAAAGTGACAAGGCAAGGGAAGAGGAAACTGTCCTGGCAGCAGGAGAGAGCCAGGGACAGCTCAGCACAGCCTGGAGATCAGCCCAGAGGAGCTCAGGGACTGGGAAGGCACCGGTGGTTTGTGTCCCCAGGCAGGGATGTGACAGCACATCCCACCCTGAGAGCAGGGACACGGCCAGCTGGGAGCCTGCAGCCTCACTGGGCACTTGTGGTGGCAGCAAAACAGGGCTGGAGGCTTGGGACAAACAAACAGGGGAATCCTGGCTAATGCTGCTATGAGGGGACTGGGGAACATGGACATCTCCATGGACCAGGAGATCTCCACGGGCTTGGGGATCTCCATGGACCTGTAAACACAGACATGTCCCTGGGCCAGATCTCCATGGACCTGGGGAACATCTCCATGGACCAGGAGATCTCCATGGACCAGGAGATCTCCATGGGCCTGGGGATCTCCATGGACCAGAAGATCTCCATGGGCCTGGGGAACATGAACATGTCCATGGGTCTGGGAACACAGACATCTGCATGGGCCTGGGGATCTCAGATATCTCCATGGGCCACGAGATCTCCATGGACCTGGGAACATGAACATCTCCATGGGCCTGGGGATCTCCATGGGCCAGGAGAGCACCATGAGCCTGGGGAACACAGGTATCTCCACAGGCCAGAGGAACACAGACATCTCCATGGGCCAGGAGATCTCCATGGGCCAGGGGATCTCCATGGACCTGGGAACATCTCCATGGGCCCGAAGATCTCCATGGACCAGGGAACATCTCCATGGGCCAGGAGATCTCCATGGGCTTAGGAACACAGATATCTCCATGGACCTGGGGATCTCCATTGGTCTGGGAACATAGACATGTTCATGGGCCAGGGAAACACAGACATCTCCATGGGCCAGGAGATCTCCTGGAACACAAATATCTCCATGGACCAGGAGATCTCCATGGACCTGGGAACATGGACATCTACATGGGCCTGGGGATCTCCATGGGCCAGGGAACATGAACATGTCCATGGGCCAGGGAAACACAGACATCTCCATGGGCCTGGAGATCTCCATTGGTCTGGGATCACAGACATCTGCCTGGGCCCTGTGAGGACATCCCAGGCCCAGGAGGGTTCCCTGTCCTGTGCAGGTGGCTGAGTTCAGGTTAATGCTGCAGATGCAGAGCCCAGGAGTCCTGCAGGCAGTCCTGCTGCTCCCTCCCTGCTGCTCCAGGGCTCACTCCCAATGCCCAGGCATGGAACTGGACACCAGGACATGGGAGCACCCCCCAGGTGACAGAGGCACAAGGTGCAGCCTTTGGGATGGAACCCACCATGCTTTGGGACTGACACACCACCACACACTCAAAAAAACAACAAAGTTTTCCTCCTGTCCCCTTGGAGCAAGCTCAGGAAAGGATCCAGGGATCCACTGAACCTGTGCTTGGGAGTCCTGGAAGAGGATCCCTCCTTTGATCCCTCCTGCTCCAGAGCTTAAACTCTGAGTAATTTATGGCATCTGAAAAAAGAAATGGAGCCAACCCCCCCTTCCCCACTCCCTCCTGGAAGACATGTGCATAATGTGTTAATTATTTACTGAAAAGACTCTGAATGTGGCATAGTAGATATAATTAGGTGCCTATTTTGGACAACGTATTAAGTGCTTTAGAACAAAAAGTGCTATAAAAATGATACCCAAAGTGGTGACAGGTTTCATTTTTCTTCATGAGTTCCACTTTCTTATTACAAACTTGAGTTTTCTGATCAGGGATGTCACTGTCTGGTGGAGCAAAACCAGCCCATGCTCTGGGAGACCAAAGGGAAGGAGCATCCCTTGTTTAAGGAGTGCTGCTCCCCAAAAAGGGAGGCTCAGAGTTCTGCTTTTCCCAGCTATTTTCTGAGTGAACTTCCCTTGGGAACACTTTGCTGCCCCATGGTGTCTCCCAGAGCAGCACAGACCTGGCAGAGCCCACCTTGGATTTGGGAGCTGCAGCCTCAGAGCTCTGGGAGAGGCACAGCCAGAGGGAGGGATTGTGATTTCCAGGTGTGCCAGGCCTGGAACAGCACAGCCCTGAGCAAACACACTGGGAGCTCACATCTCCCCTGGGATCTGTTCTGGGGTGGAGAAGGGTGAACAACACCCACCCACCTGAATTAACCTGTGAGGTTTCAGTGTGTTCCAAACATTCATAAATCAGTAAAAAAAACCAGTTTAAAGCTTAAGGCATTGCAGGCCCAGCTGCCCGTCCCACTCAGTGAACCCAGGCTGAAGTGAGGGGAGGAGTGGGAAGCCAGACTGAGCTCACAGAACTGGGGCACTGGGCTGGACTGGGAGCTGGGAGGGAGATTTTTATAAACTCTGCAATAAAATTCAGCCCTGTCACAGCTGACAGAGCTGATGTCCCTTAACAGCACACCTGAAGTCCCACCTCAGAGGTGGGAACAGGATGGAGGAACAACCCCTCCATGGAATTCTGTACCCTTCTCCTGCCCTGCCTGCCAGGGACACCAGAGAGAGCAGCAGCTCCTCTGAGCCCTGCAGGTGGGAGCTGCAAGCAAAGCTCTTTCTGGGAACAAAGTTCTTTTCTCATTCAAGAATGAAGCGACCGCGGGGAAGGGTGGGAGGTGAAACCAAGAGCCAGCCAGTGACTGCTGTGGATCCTCCCCATGCTAAAGGCTTGAGGTGGAGATGATGCTCCCCAGAGCCTACAGAAATGTTTTTTCCTCCAGCTGGAAGGAAGTCAGCCAGCTCCCCTTGGCACAACACTGAGGGCACCCAAGCTCCTCCTCTGGGCAAGCCCAGCCACGACCGACCTCACCTTGGAGCAGGAGCAGAGTCCTCGTGGCCCTGCTCTCCTGAACAGCGCAACCTCCTCCCTCTGAAAAGTGAGGAATCTCCACCTACCATTCTCAAGCTCTAACACACCCAAAACAAGGAATTCCCACTGTCCTGGGGAATGTCTAAGCTCAGGACACGTCTTGGAAGTGGATCAGAGCAGCCAACAGCAGCGAGGGCAGCGAGCTGTGATCCTGCTGCAGCACAACCAGCAGCCACTGCACTTGGTGCTCCACGGCAGGGGAGGTCAGAAGCTTCTGCAATCCCTCCTTTCACAAGGTGCAAAGCTCCAGAGCAGGCAGGGCCTCAGGGCCTGTTCTCCAGCTGGCCGTGCTTGACGCGCCAGGCCCAGCCCACGCTGCAGTCGGGGGCCAGGGTGCACTGCAGCTCGATGCCAGAGTCAGGCACCTCCATGTTGTAGTGCACAGGCTGCCCCTCCTTGGTCACCAGGCTGAAGGCGGGCACGGGGATCTGGGGAGCAGAACACACAGAGCTCAGTGCCACTTGCAGTGCCCTCCATCACACCCCTCTGTTGGGGAAGACGAAACAGGAAAGCCTTACAAATATGATTGTCTGGCAAAAGATTTTGAGAATATAGAAACTATAAGTGAGATTGAAATGAAAGCAAGCTTTGAGATCCCTCAGTTACTGAACAACTGGAAAACAATGGTGTGGCTGGCTGAAGGTGATCCCCTTTTGATGAAATAACACCCTCTGCAAGCAGGCATGTCAAAGAGTCCGAGCAGACCCTGCAACCTGGCAAAAAGGGCCCAAAAAAGAAGTTTTAGGGTTTAAAATGTAACACAGGATGGTAATGTAGTAATTCTTATAGGCTGTATGGAAATGCCACAGGATTTGTATCTTGTACTGGATTGGTTAGTGAGAATTAGAATATTCAATACAGAAGATGATTTATTGTATTGGAACGGGAACCTCGCTCACTTACTTACTTTTGTATGGTCTTAGCTCTTACTCTTACCTCTTGTCTCTTAGCTCTTGCCTTTTACTCTCTCACCCTCTCATCCTCTCTCCCCCTCTCCTCTCTCAGCCTGCTCTGAGCTGTGGCTGCAGCTCCCAGCAGGGCCCTGCACCCAGGCCCTTTGTGATAAACCCCAAGTTCCACAGCCTGGCTGCAGAGATCTCTCATCTCCGTCCATCCTGACCCTCCTACCCCCAATGCTCCTACGCCCCTCCATCACACCCAGCTTTTCCCAAGGCAGGAGCAGCTCTCAGGGAGGGGCTTGTGCTTGGCAGGAACATCCTGAGCTCCACTCATAACAAAACACCTCAGAACTGGACTGGGCAGTGCCCACCCTGCTGCCAAAGTATGGAAATCCAGGGCACTGGGAATATTTCTTATGTCCTGACCCCCACGGTGTCACAGGCGTTTTATGAAAAAATCCTTTCCTTGGGATTTTTTTCTCCTGAGAAGCTGAGGAACAAAATGCAAACAATGGTTATCTGCTGCTGTGGAATGCAACAGGTGCATCTGTGATTGGTCTCATGTGGTTGTTTCTAATTAATGGCCAATCACAGCCCAGCTGTCCAGACTGTCTCAGTCAGTCACAAGCCTTTATCATTCCCTCCTTTTCTGTTCTTAGCTAAGCTAGCCTTTGATGAAATCCTTTCTTCTATTCTTTTAGTATAGTTTTAATATAATATATATAATAAAATAATAAATCAGCCTTGTGAAACATGGAGTCAGATCCTCATCTCTTCCCTCACCCTCAGACCCCTGTGAACACCGACACACATGGGGAGCTCTGACTTTGACCCTCATTCATGGAGAAAGTTTCCCAGACTTCAAGCTAGACTGGAATCCACAAAAGTGTGAAATGGATTATAGAGAGTAGTGTAAGTCCATCACTTGGTGAGAAATTGAGGTTTTGGGATTTTTAGTGCGTAGTGGATGGAAGCAAGATGGAGGGCACAGGGTGTCATCCTGGGTTTCTTCTTCATGGGTTTGGGTGGCATTTTGTAATTGGGCAGAAAAGCTCACATTGGGAACAGTTATTGGGTTAAAAATGGAAATAATCTAGGAGTCAGTTCTTAATTGGACAGTTTAGTCTTAAAAGACCTTGGAACAAGAGATTGTTGGCCATTTTGTGCCTTGCTGCAGAACTCACAGTAGTGAGACTGTTTTACTGATAAGAAATAACAAACACCTGAGTCTGAACATGAATTAGTCTCAAGTGCCTTCAATCCAGACCCAGAGAAACCAGCAACTGGTACCCCCACACCAAAGTGCCTCCCTGAGCTCTGGGCCATGGCTGGGGGATCAGGAGCTGCCCATGTTTGGGCACCTGAGCTCCTCTGCAGGTATTTTGCTCTGTGATGTCCACAAGAACAGAGTCTAGAGAGAACCAGCACCACTGGAACATTTTCTAGATTGGTGCCCAGAGATGATCCCATTTTACAGTGAGATCTTTCAGATCCCATTTTACACTGAGATGAGTCACAGTCCCACAGACTCTCCAGAGTTTCTTTGAGGAACAGCCAAAGCAGCCCACAGTGAGGTTCACAGGAGTGTGCCAACATCTCCAACAGAACAAGCTGGAAGCACCCCAGCCAAACAGAGCTCATCTCCCTGGGCTGATGCTACTGCTCATGATGAAAAATCTATATATGATTCTTCAGGGAGAGGGGAAAGAGTTCATAATTGAGGAGAAGGATTTTTTAAGCTGCAGCACAGAATATCTATATTCTAAGATCCCTGTGCTCACTCTGACAACTGGCACTGGCTCACAATTCAGGTTTGGTACCAGGTTTAGGCTGGATATTAGGGAAAATTTCTTCACTGCAAGAGTGGACAAGCATTGGAACAGGCTGTCCAGGGCAGTGCTGGAATCACCATCCCTGAAAAGGTTCAGAAAATGAGCGGATGTGGCACTTGGAAATATGGTTTAGTGGGCTTGGTGGGATTTGGTCAAAGGTTGGACTTGATGATCTTGGAGGTCTTTTCCAACCTTAATGATTCTGTGATTCAGAAAACATCCTCTGGTACCACACTCACAGCAGCAGCACTGAGGTGTCCTAAAGACTCCTGAACCACTCCTGGGTCTCTCTGGCATTCAGGGGTTATGAGGGAAGAAATCATTCCTCAAATGATGCACTGAGCTGCAGTCTGTGTCTCACCTGGCTGCTGATCCCCGTGGCAATGTCTCCCACCTTTGTCCTGTGGAAATCTCTGATGTGCAAATTTTCTCCACTTAGCAACTGGATCTGGATTTTCACTCCTGGAATGCACAAGAGGTTCTTTGAGTTCTTCTGAGCCACAAGGACCTCACAGCCCACAGCAAAGCTGACTGACAAGGCACACACATGGGGAAAAGCTCATTTTTGTCATTAAGGATTTCATTTATGTAGGTCTTTTGCTGAGCATGGAGCTTGCTGCAGACAGCAATGACTCACAGAGCAGAGCTGCATTTAGCAAGAAAGCAGCTGAAGGGATTGATTAATTTGCACAATATGCCCTCAAAATTCTGGGTGGATATTTGTGGTTATAAAACATTCCTTGCACATGGAGGCTGCATGAACCAGGGCACACAGGCTCTGTGTGTGTGCTCAGAAACTTCCCTGGATTTTACTGCACAGACCCATCTCCCACAGACATCTTTTATGAAAAATCCTTTCCTTAGGATTTTTTCTCCTGAGAAGCTGAGAGGCCTCAGGAACAAAATGTAAACAATGGTTATCTGCTGCTGTGGAATGCAACAGGTGCATCTGTGATTGGTCTCATGTGGTTGTTTCTAATTAATGGCCAATCACAGTCAGCTGGCTTGGACTCTGTCTGAGCCACAAACCTTTGTTATCATTCTTTGCTATTCTATTCTTAGCCAGCCTTCTGATGAAATCCTTTCTCCTATTCTTTTAGTATAGTTGTAATATAATATATATATAATAAAATAATAAATCAGCCTTCTGAAACATGGAGTCAGATCCTCATCTCTTCCCTCATCCTCAGACCCCTGTGAACACGGTCACACCCATCTGTGACTGGGCCAGACTGGATCTCCTCACACCCATTTTTAGGTGGATCTGTGCTGGCACAGCAACTGAAGGACAAAATGAGTTTAAAAACTCCATCTCCAGCTTGTGTGGGCAGTGAGGAAGTGATTTCTGGCCATTTCTCCCTGCTGTGGGAGGCAGCCCCACCGTTGAAGCAGCTGGGGGTGTCCGTGTGCCGGCTGCGGCTCAGCAGGTTGTTCCAGCTGCAGCTCTGCCCCTCGGCCTGGCTGTTCCAGGAATGGATCCCAGAGCTCATGGTGTCCCTCAAGCTCTGAGAAGCCTTCATGGAGTTCTGCAGGAATAAGCATAAGTTTGTTTAAGGTTCTGAAAGAAAATGAGCCGGCAGGAGATGAGCATTAAAATAAGGTCAGGAGGAAAAAGGTGGAAATGCACAGGGATTAGTCAACATTTATGTGGCATGTGGGATTGCAGTGCAACAGATATTATAGATATTATCAGATATTCCCAATAGTTAAATCAATAATGAGCTGAAAAGCTGAGTGAGGAAAGAGGGGTTGTACTGACTGGAAGGAGAATTAAACATCAGTTAAAATATTTCTCACTTACTGACATTAGAAACACGCAGGAAAAACAATTCACTGTACAAAACCAGCCATAGGCCCTATGCTGCTGCACTGTTGTATTGTCCCAGTCAATCTGACACCAGTCTGAACCAGTCAGAACCAAGTTACAGGTATGGTGTAGGTGTTAGAGGGAAAAACCAAGCAGAGTCAGATCCCACACTGCACACTGTGTGTGCCAACAGCTGAGCTGTGCACAACTCCCTCAGTCCTCCTCAAAAAGCACTGGAACACTGAGAAGAGAGACAGAAATAGGACACAAAGCTGCTCCCAATCAGAACTGGCTCCTGCACAAATTGGGGACTGAATGTCTTTGAAAACTGTGATTAAAGGACTTTTGTCCTTTCCTGGTCCAACAAGGCCTGTTCAGTGCTCCTCACTGATATTCGCCACCACAGAGAGCTAATTTCAATCTAATTGAAATTGGTAAATAACCAGGATTATGCATTCATTACTATCAATGGGTTAAAATAAGTTCATGGAAAATAGATCTGCGAACGAATATCCAAGATTTGGGTCTTTTTTCCTGTCTCACTCTCCTGGCCTTTCCCTAAACCATGGCCAGGAAGAGGACCCTGCACAGCTGCTGGGTGCAGCTCCTGCTTCCACCACTGCTTCCCCAGCTCCTTCCCCTGCACAGGCAGGGCTGAGGCTGCTGAGATTTTCTGTATCCACACTCTTGAAGCTTCAGGTGAGGATACAGCACAGGAGAACCTCTGGAGGACAGGATCCATGGTGGACAGGGAACCAAAGCACAGCTACAACCCCCAACACCCCACTGGGCATGAGCAAAGCTTTCTTCCCAGCAAATTTGGTGTCAGAAAGCAGCAACAAAGGTGAGAAATTCCAGATTTTCATGGGTCACAGGTCCCAGTTTTGCCAAGGGGGACAGGCAGCCACCCCCCAGCCATACCCACTCACCTTCTCACTGGCATCTGACACAAAGGGGCTGTCAATGCTGAGGCAGGAAAGCATTTGCTCCTGCTCTTCCAGAGAGTAAGGCTGGGAAAGGCTGTTCAGAAACAGTTCTGCAGCAAAAGGGAGAGAAGGGAGACATTTCCAGTGTTTCAGGGAGACATTTCCAGTGTTTCCCTCCATGCCTCCCCTGCTCTAATCACAGTTCTGCCATTAATACCCAAAGCTTCTTCAGCAATATTTAATATTTATTTCATTTGGGTGCCAGCAGAGCCCAACACACAGCTCTGCCATGCACAGGACACTGTGACACAGGGAAACTGAGCCAAGAGGGGATGGATTGTGCAACAACATGCAAAATAACACCCCAAAATCATCAGTTCTTGCCTTTATGTCTCCTGTGAGATGCCACTTTAGATCTATCCACATTATCAGGGAAAAGCCAAACTCATGTACTCAGCTCTCACAAGTATCTGGAAGTTTGTACTCCCTTATCTGGATACAAGTACTTACAAATACTGCAAATATTCCTGATAAAATCCAGACATCCCATACATAACCAGCTCTTACAATGCTGCTGAGGCCCAAAGCCATTTGAGAAAGAAGCTGCTCATCACCAACCCCTAAAATTCCCCAGTTTTCTGACACAGTTACAATTCAAACCACTCTCTACCTATTTTCTTTCAATTCACTCAAAAAGACTGGAAAATATGGGAGAAAAAAAAGTGAAATGTAGAGTTGTATTGGGGAAATGGAAGTGGACAAATCACTGATTTCCACACTGCTGGTTTTCAAACTCTGGTTTGCTGTTGTAACCAAATTCCTTGGCTGATGGCTGTAGGTTTTCCAGCACCCAGAACTAAACAGTTGCAGGCTGGTTTTAACTGCACTGCTTTGCTTGACATCTGCTATTTCTTTATTTTTATCCTGGCTTACCTCAATTAACAAAAAAAAAAAAAAAAAGTTTGAACCCAAAATTGCAGCTGAAATTGGAATTCTGACACTGTTTGCACAGTGCAAACAAGCACAAGTGTGAAACAGGCTGCTTTCCCAGAGGTTCCTGCACCTCTCTCAGAAGGTTCCCCCCTGTTGAGGAGGAAGGAAATTCTGTTCACTCCCTTTGTGGCACATTTAATTGGTTCAGAACTATTAGTTTTGGTAGCTTGAAGGAAGGTTGAGCAATTTGTGTAACGAGAAAGGAACTATGAGCAAAATGACATCCAAGCTGAAAACCCAAAAATAACTGTCAACAAGCCAAGAGAAAGCAGCTGTATTTTTATCCTGCTCTCAAGCAAAAAGAGCTGAATTCCTCCCCCAGCCCAGTGCTCACCAATTTCCAGCTGCTGAAGTTCTTGCTCTGAAATGGTTGTGGCTCTTTCCACGTGGCTGCAGCTCTTCAGGGGCAGAGGAGTTGAGGAGAGGGGTGGGGGATCACAGGTTTCAGGTAACTCCTTGTCCTCATTCCAGTGGGGTCCCTCAGCCTCCTCTGTTTGCTCCAGAGATGGAGGTGGGAGGACTGAGCTGCCACAGGAAACTTTGACTGACAGTTTTGGGTCAGAAGCAATCTCAGAAACTGGGCTCACTGTGGGGGACAGGGATGTTTGTGCACTGTTTTCTTTGTTCAAAGAGAAATGTCTGGGCTCTCTGTATTCACCTTTCCAGGGGCTTCTCACACCTCCCACTACAAAAAGAAAAAAAAAATACAAGCATTATCAAATAAAGCAATAAAAGAGGTAAAAGTTTTCCTTTCCTGTAAGAATTTTTGAAGTGTATTTGCTGTAAAATGCCCAGCTTCTTTATAAGATAAAACCAGATCACCTCCACAAATTCTTGCTGTATTACAGAACCACTCAGCAGGATTAAGTTGAAATAAATTAGTGATGTGTCAGGGGTAAAACTGAACCACAAGTATGAGTTACAGCTAGGGATGCAGTAAATCCTGCTTGCAGTTGTGCAGCTGATGCTTCAGCTGACAGGAGCCCTCAACAAACCCACAGAGAGCTCTCCCCTCCTTCAGCAGAGAAGGAAGAAGAGCATGTGACAGCACACAGGAAATTATCATTTATTTGGGTGACAAACAGGCTGCAGGCAGAAGCCATCAACCCAAAAAATGCATCAATGCTGTGCAAATGATATAGTGGACAATAAAACTGACTGGCCCTCCCAAAAGGAGCAGCACCAGTGGGAGTACAAAGGTTCAGCTGCATCAGTTACATCAGCACATTTCTACCTTCCTCAAGTGCCACGCTGGTTTTAGTTTTGAGCTCTGATGCAGATGCCCTGTGCAGAGGCTCCTTCTCCAGCCCCAGCTTTATAATCTCAGCAGTGAGAGGGTTGCAGGAAGGTGGAATTTCCCTCACAGGAGGCGGCTCTTTAGCGATCTGTGTAACAAACAGGAAGTGAAAGAGGTTACACCAGAGAGGCTTAATTTGATTTCAGGAAGGTTCTTCCCACCCTGACAGTGTTTCCAACTGAAATGAAAGCATTAAGTGAGAGCTGAACAGTAATTTTATTACAGCTGAATGGCTCAAAAGGCACACCCAAGTCATGAGCAGGGCATGGAAGAACAACCCAAGCAAGCACAGGGAATGCTCAGCTCCCAGAGCAAGGCTGGTATCCTGCCATGTAAGAGCCTGAATCAGAGACTCCAGAAGCTCTCCAAAATGCAGTTTATTGCAGCCAAAATGCAGTTTATTGTGTACAGAATGCAGTTTATTCCATCCAAGAGGTTACAGCAGTCCAGGGACCTGGGTGACAGAGCTGTGCCTACAGCTGTCAACTCCAGAGACCTTTAGTTTAGGTTACAATGCATTCTATACTTTTCTTTTGGTTGCAATGCATTATATATTTTTCTTTGCTGAGCATCTTAATACAGCAGAACCAATCTATACCTTAACTTTTATCTCTAGCCTACCATAACTGCTGTAATTACCATATTCATGTTAACTGTTCTCCAATCACTCAAAGTTAGTACATTACAGTTTAAGCTAGAAGTTGTTTTCCTTGCAGTGGAAAATTCTGAGACCTTTTTTCTACTTACTTGGTTACCTGTGTTATCTTCCTGCTTGATAAAAACATCTTGTTTGAGGTGGGTTTATCCTTTGCTCTAAGCCATAAAAACCCCTTCTAACTAACATAACCAAGAAGGCAAAGGGTATACAGTAATTCTTTTCTTCTATATCAAAACTTGCTTCCATCTCTATTCCTACATTTAAAAATCTTGCTGCAAAGCACCTGTGAGACTTCCTTGTCAAACTTTCATGCTTCCCAATGCTGTCAGATGCTGAGCTGGCTCCCAGCCATCCACCCTGAGGTGAATGCTCCCTGGCCAGCAGTGACAAGCTCAGGCAGCTCACCTGCACAGAGGTTGGGTCACTCACCTTGAGGCACAGAGGGTGGTTGTAGTACTGGGTCCAGGGGTGGCAGCCATTGAGCATGTGCAGCATCATGCAGCAGCTGCTCCACACGTCCACCTTGGAGTCACAGCGCTTCCCCATCACCACCTCGGGGGCCATGTGGGTCTCTGTGCCAGGCACGTAGTTCCCTAAAGCAGCCAGGAGGAAACTCAGTGCAGGCAGGCAAGAGAAATGCTCCAGTGCCACTGGGAGGGGGCCTGAGGCAGAATCCCTCTCTTTTCAGCTGAAGTGAGACATGGCAGCTTTGTAGGATGGAGTGGTTTGGGTGGGAAGGGACTCAAGTTCATTCAGTGCCACTCCTGCCATGGCAGGGACACTTTTCACTGTCCCAGGTGGCTCCAAGCCCTGTCCAACCTGGCCTTGGGCACTGCCAGGGATCCAGGGGCTGCCCCAGCTGCTCTGGGCACCCTGTGGATTCCTAATTCCCAATATCCCATCTGACCCTTCCCCCTGGCAGTGGGAATCCATTCCTCTTGCCCTGTCCTTCCAGGCCATTGTCCCAAGTCCCTCTCCAGCACTCTGGGAACTCCTTTAGGCACTGGAAGGGGCTCTCTCTGAACCTTCTCTTCTCCAGGCTGAACAATCTGAGCTCTCCCAGCTTTTCTCCATAGTGGAAGGGCTCCACCTTACCCAAAAAGCAGCACTGTGTTCTCAGAAGCTGTTCCCTCTCAGAGCCATCCCTTATACACAGAATAGGGATTAAACTTCCCTTGCAAGCAAATTTAGGAGGCAAAGCATGAGCTTGAGTTCAGAAAACATACCCTTCTCAGCTGCATGAAGAAGCATGGTTAAGTTTAATTGGAAACAAAAAGGAATTTTCTTTAATGGAGATTAGGACTCTTTCCCACTATTTAGTGAGTTTATACAAGTTTGTGTGGGATTTTAAAGTTTCAGTGTGGTTTCTTGCAGGGACAAAACACTTAAAGCAGCACACTGACATAATCTTACAAAAACCTTTCTAGCCTGGGAGATAAGGACCATCACCTCCCAAATTTCAGGTCATTTTGGCTGTCAGTGGGATGCCTCACAGTAATACCAATAAATGAGACACCATGAGCAGTTGCTTGCAAATCAGCTGTTCCCCCTCAGAGCCATCCCTTATACACAGAATAGGGATTAAACTTCCCTTGCAAGCAAATCTGAGAGGCAAAATGAGCTTGACTTTAGAAAATAAACCCTTCTCTTTCAACAGCTGCATGAAGAAGCATGGTTAAGTTTAATTGGAAACAAAAAGGAATTTTCTTTAGTGGAGGTCAGGACTCTTTCCCACTATTTAGTGAGTTTATACAAGTTTGAGTAGAATTTTAAAGTTTCAGAGTGGTTTCTTGCAGGGACAAAACACTGAATGCAGCATGCTGACAATCTTACAAAAACCCTTCTAGCCTGGGAGACAAAGACCATCACCTCCCAAATTTCAGGCCATTTTTGCTGTCACAGTAATACCAATAAATGAGACACCTCAGCACCTGCTTGCAAATCAGCCACATGTAAATGTTCATGAGGATGAGTCAGAAGGGCAATTCCTCAGAAGAGCAGCAGCAAAGCCTCACCTGTGACCAAGCACTTTCCCAGCCCATCTGGGTGCAGGTGAGCAGAGTGGCCAAAGTCACACAGGAGGGCCCTGCTCCCGTCTGCTGACAGCAGCACATTCTCAGCTGCCAAGAGAAGGGTTCCATTAGTGTCCTCTGCATCAGGAGATGGGAAAAACACTCAAAAGTACACACAACTACAGTTTTCTAAGCCCAAAGGATTAATTTCTCCAGTCACTGGCTTAAGCAAGCACAGAGCTGTAATTATCATTTATAAACTACCAATTACCTGCCCTGGAGATTCTTGTAGCCCAGTGGTGGTGCCAAGCACCTTGGCAGACCCATGGGGTGACAAGAAGAGGTGACAAATATGATATTGCCAGCAGTCTAGAACCAAGGGAAACTCTAATATCAAACATAGATCTGAAAATCTAGTAAGTAGATCCCATAACTTAAGTAAGTAATGAATTAATAATTTAATCTCCAAGCAGTTTGCCTCTTCTAAGAAAAGGGAAGAACAAGGTACTTCAAACACTTTCCTACCTTTGACATCTCCATGGAGAATGTTTTGAGCATGAAGATACTCCAGACCCTCTAAGACCTGGCCCAGGTAGCTGAGGGCTCTGTCCTCGGGCAGGCAGCCACTCTGTTTAATGAGCTGCCCTAATGAGCCACCTAAAAAGGAATCCAGGGAGTCCATGTTATCTTCTGTTTAAATTCTCCCCAGCATCATCATTAGCATTCCTGGTGGTTTCCATTGAAAAAATGAGATTTTCCAGGTCTGACAGCACTTATCTTCCACACATGGCTCAGTTCCTTTTGTTAATACCCAGGGTTTTTGCTGCTCACAGAACAGGCCTTGTTTATATGTGTTTTTTTTCTTAGTGTCAATTTAACAGTGCTGCTTTGGAGCAAAGGCAAATGCTCTGTGATCAGAACAGGCATTTCCAGGTGTTACTGACCACCACTGACTCTTCACAGCCTGTTTTCCATGGTTCTGGCCAGAAAAAGAGCACCAAGCAATGGAATAATTGAGGTTTGCTTAGACAACAGGGCAATGAGCCCCACTGGTGTCCTGCAAACCACCAGGAAACACAAACCAGCCCCAAATGTGTGAAAGAGACACCTTGAACTGGAATAAGGCAGGACTGGGAATCATTGTCCCCACAGCAAGCCCACTGCAGGGTTTACACACACCCATTCCAACCCACTG